GGGTTCCTTACTCTGGGTTACAATCTTATAGACGATTAAGGTGTCATGGGAAGCCTCCCATGGCCCAAACTTTCCCTGATGCTCTCAACAGGGGCAATTTCAGGCTGACCCAAATCCAGATCATTAAAGCCAATTTTCAAGCAAACTCTGCAGACTTATCTGGAGGCAGGATGCATGGGGTTTGGGCCTGGCCAGAGCCTCTGAGGTGAGAGAGGTGGGAGAGGCAGGAGGCGAACACAGGGAAGCTTGGGTGTGGGGTACAGACAGCACAGCCCCTGGCTGCCCGAGGCCTAGTTTCAGATAACTTTCTCCTCCCGCAGGTCATTTCTAAGCAGGTAGAAGGCAGGGTGGAATCGCAGGCATCCCTACCGCAGCCTTACCATGTGTCTTGCTGGTCTTCCTTCCCCTTGTGGAAGGAAATCCTTCCCTCCAGACCCCAGGTCAGGCAGGCTTGGGATCCTGCTCTTCCCTCTGAGGTCCATGGTACCCTCTCAGCATCAGGGGTCCCTACAGGGCAGTCATACCAATCCCACACCAAGAGAATTCTGCAACCAAAGGCTATGCACATCTACCATTTGCTACCTATGGTCAGAATGCCCCTGGGAAAGGAGAGTCCAGCCACCAGTGCTCAACCCAGCTAAACTCCAGCATGTCTCATGCCTCGAGCTTTATATTTCTCAAAGCATCTTCACACTCAGCTCATTTGATTCACACAAATGGGAGCATGTGGGAAGGTATCAAGCTCACCACTTACAGAATGCAGAGAAATTGAGGCACTTCTCTGGTAAACAGGCTTAATGATGCCACCAGTACATGTCCTCTCCCCTGCATTCTTGCTTGTAAGGACATAGCAAAACATAACACTCAATTAGTCACATTTATGTATACCTAGTTCTTATTAATGAAGTTGATCCCTACCACCCACCCTATTTTTTCCCATGATACATTCTCCTCTCTTTTATTCAAGACACATTTGTAGAGATCTGTACTTCCCTGAGCCTGGCTACTGCAATACATGGTTCCAGCCCCAGGCAGTTGAGGACTAGTCAGGCAAGCAAGACATACATACAACATATTCATACCTGTGCAGCAGACTGGGTAGGTGCCCCGCCTCATACCTCTGGCTTGTCTCTGAGGTCACCTGCAGCAGCAAGTGGACAGTATCTGTAAGTGGTGACAGCTTCCACCTCGAGCCCCAGGAACTCTCTGCTTCTCATCCTGCAGGTTTTCTGGAATGCCTGGAGAACTCCATACATGTGCACCAGACAGTCCTGAAGTGCCTGGGATTTAACATCCTTAGAGGCAATCCTCAACGTGTTAAGGACTGAGTTAGCAGATAAATATTCCAGCGTTCCCTTCCCTTGGTGGGATAAGTCTGAGACAAGTTCTACATGTATCCTCAGGGGTCCCAGCAGGGTGGATTCCCGACCACCCACCGCCATGACTTGCTCACCAACATTCTCTTTATTGGCTTTTTCTCCGTCCTTCCTCTCACATTTCCCCTTTCCTTCACTTGCACTTTCAAGGAAGACCTTCCACCTAAACCACATGCACCCAATCCTTGCCTCAAGTTTCCTTTTGAGTGAATCCAAACCAAGACAATCTACTATGTTTTGGACTCAGTCCCAGACACTGGGGATACAGTGGTGAACAAGACAAAGTCCCTGCTGCCATGAGTTTGGAATTGTTTAATGACCCCCACGGCGTACAGGAAAAAGTTCAAGCTTCTTATCTGGCCCATATGGCCTTCAAGATCTTGATCCCTGCCGACCTCTCCCATCTTGTCTGAAATGTTCCTCCCTTCTGCCTGCATATGTGCTCTAGCAGTTCAGCCTTTTTGTATTTCTCAAACTGAGCCCAGCTGGTTCACACTGCTCTGCCCTTATACACACAGTTCTCTCTACCTATAAGTACTACCCAACACTTGTCCATCTTGTCTTAAAAATATGAGTTCAATATTCCCTTTTTTATTGTGCCCTCTCAGACCCTCCTAGCATCTCTCCCACCTGAGTTCATCACTCCCTCCTCTGTACAAACCAAGTGTTTGACTTTCTACCTAGTACGCATGTATACGACTGATCTCTGTGTCCTGGGTACCTAGCATAAGGACAGGTCCTTATGGAACTAGAGAATCAAATTTGGAAATTCACAGCCTGTGAAGAGTAAGATCTCTGGTTTAAAACAAATGACGAAAACAAGAACCCTCTCTATTTTTGCTTGGGATTGCAAAGGGTTACACCATACAAGGAAGAAATAAAAGTACATTAGGGGGCCGGCCCGTGGCTCACTAGGGAGAGTGTGTGGTGTTGATAACACCAAGGCCACGGGTTCAGATCCCCTCTTAGGGGAAAGCATTTCATCATTAAAAATGATGTTAGCTGTAGCGTTTTTTGTAGTTGCCCTTTACCAAGTTGGAGTTCCCTTCTATTCCTGCTTTGATGAGAGGTTTGTTTTTTATTTGCCTGTTTTAAATACGAGTGAATTTTAAATTTTGGTCAATGCTTTTTCTGCATCCATTGGTATGATCGTGTGGTTTTTCCTCTTAAACTGTTAATTTGGTGGATTACACTGATCGGTTTTCAAATGTTGACCCAGCCTTGTGTTCCTAGGATTCTTTTTATATATTTATTGCTGGAATCAATTTGCTAAAATTTTAGTGTTTTTATGCCTTTGTTCATAGGGATGTTGGTCTGCAGTTTTCTTGTGCTGTCTTGTCCTGATTTTGGTATCAAGGCAATGCTGACTTTAAATAATGAGTTGGGAAGCATTCTCTCTTCTGTTTTCTGGAAGAGATCGTGTAAAATTGTTATTTCTTTAAATATTTGATAGAATATGCCAGTGAAATCATCTCATCCTGGAGACTGCTTTTGGGGGGAAGTTTTTAATATGAACTCAATCTCTTTAATAGTTATAAGACTTTACAAGTTGTTTCATCTTGGGTGAGTTTTGCTAGTTTGTGGTTTTTAAGGAGTTGGTCCATGTCAACTAAGTTATGAAATATACATGCATAGGGTTGTTTGTAGTGTTTCTTTACTATTTTATTTTAAATTTTATTTTATTTTATTTTTTTTGTTGTTGTTGCTGGCTGGTAAGGGAATCTGAACCCTTGATCTTGGTGTTATCAGTACCATGCTTTAACCAAGTGAGCTAACCCACCAGCGCTTTATTATCGTTTTAAAGTCTGTGGGATTAATAGTGATAATCCCCCTTCCATCCCTGATAATGGTAATTGGTGTCTTCTTTATTTCTTTGTCAGTCTTGCTAGAGGTTTATCTTATTGGTAAATGTTTTATTGATTTTTTCAATGAAGCAGATTTCTGTTTCATTGATACTTGTCTATTTTTCTGTTTTCAATTTTATTGATTTATGCATTTATCTCTAGTTCCTTCATATTGATAACTTTTCCAAGGTAAGTATTTAATGCCATAAACTTCAGTCTAAGTACTCTTTCAGCTGCATCCCACAAATCTTGAAATGTTTTGTTTTTATTTTTGTTCAGTCCAAAGTATTTTCTAATATCCCTTAAGACTTCCTTTTTGACCCATGGATTATTTTAAAGTACTGTTTAATGCTCAAGTTTTTGGAGACTTTACTGTTATTTTTGTTATTGTTTTTTAGTTTAATTGCATTATGGTCATAAAACATACTTTGCATAAATTTCAATTCTTTTATATTTACTAACATTTGTTTTATAATCCAGGATATGATTCAGAATATGAGTAATGTTTCATTGTGCACCTGAAAAGAATGTGTACTCTGCTGTTGTTGTTAGAGTATTATGTAAATATCAGTTAGGATCAATTGGTTGATGGTGTGATTCAGTTCTTCTGTATCCTGCTGATTTTATGTTGACTAGTTCTCTTGATTTCTGAGAGGGGTGTTGAAGTCTCCAAATATAATTGTGGATTTGTCTATTTCTCCTTTCAGTACTGTTCATTTTTGTGTAATGTATTTTGAAGCTCTATTGTTAGGTACATACACATTGAGAGCTGTGCCTTCTTGGTGAATTGACTCTTTTCATTATGTAATGTTCTTCTTTTTCCCTGGTAATTTTTTGTGTGCTAAAGTCAATTAGTATAATATTAATATAGCCACCCAAGTTTTCTCTTGATTTTTGTTAGCATGGCATACCTTTCCATTCATTTACTTTTAACCTACCTATGTAGTTATATTTGAAGTGAGTTGTTTTTGGTTTTCTTGACTGCCTGATACAGGGATCTGAGCCCTTGACCTTGGTGTTATTAGCACCATGCTCTTGAAGTGAGTTTTGTTGACAACATGTTGTTGGGTTATTTTTTTAAATGTTTGCAGTAATCTCTATCTTTTAATTGATGCATTTAGACCATGTACAATTATTAGTATATTTGGATTTACATCTACCATTTTATTATTTATTTTCTGTTTGTTCCCTCTTTTTTTCATTGTTGTTGTTCCTTGCTTCCCCTTTCTTCCTTATTTTTGATTATTGGGACACTTTTAGTATTCTATTTTAATGTATCTATTGTGTTTTTTACTATATTTCTTTGTATAGTTTTTTCACTGGTTGCTCTAGGGATCACAGTATACATACTTAACTTTTCACAGTCTATTTATAATCACTATTTTACCATTTTAAGTGGAATGTAGAAATCTTAGCAGCATACAGGTCTCTTTACCCTTCCCATTTATATTTTAATCGTCAATTAGAATCAATTATATCTACATACATTGAAAACTCTATCAGACAATGTTATAATTTGTGCTTTCAACCAAACTTATTTCAAATAATTCATGAAGGGAAGAATAGTTTTTAATATTTAACTCAGATATCTACCATTTTTATTGCTCTTCCTTCATCCCCAATGTTTCTGCTGGCAATAAATTATCTTAGTATTTCTTCATCTGAGAATACCTTTATTTCACCTTCATTCCTGAAGTATATTTTTGTTGGTTATAGAATTCTGGGGTGACAGCTCCTTTCTTTCACCATTTTTTTTTTTTCAAAAGATGACCAGTAAGGGGATCTTAACCCTTGACTTGGTGTTGTCAGCACCACGCCCAGCCAGTAAGCGAACCGGCCATCCCTATATGGGATCCGAACCCGGGGCCTTGGTGTTATCAGCACCGCACTCTCCCGAGTGAGCCACCGGGCCGGCCCTTCTTTCACCATTTAAAAAATGTTGTTCCACTACCTTCTGGCCCTCAAAGTTTTTTTGTTTTTGTTTTTGTTTTTTTCTTTTGTCTTTTTCGTGACCGGTAAGGGGATCACAACCCTTGGTGTAGTGTTGCCCGCACCGTGCTCAGCCAGTGAGTGCACTGGCCAGTCCTATATAGGATCTGAACCCATGGCGGGAGCGTTGCTGTGCTCCCAGCACTGCACTCTCCCGAGTGCGCCATGGGGCCGGCCCTGGCCCTCAAAGTTTAAAATGGAAAATACATAGTTATTCAAATCACTGTTCTTTAAGTGATGTATTGAGATTTTTTCTTTGTTTTTCATTTTTAGAATTTTGATTATGATGTGTCAGAGTATATATTTCTTTGGATTTATCCTGTTTTGCCTTCACTGAGCTTCTTGAATCTGTTGGTTTATGTCTTTTGTCAAATTTGGGAAGTTTTGGCCATTATTTCTTCAAAAAAAAATTTTTTGTACTACACTCCTTGTCCCTTTGTTCTGCAATTCCACTGATGTGAATGTTAGACTTTTAGTATCATCTCATTGGTCCCTGAGGCTCTTAAATTTTTTCCTCGATTTTTTTCTCTTCTACTGTTCTGATTGGATCATTTCTATTGATTTATCTTCAAGTTAACTGACTCTTTCCTCCATCATTCCTATTCTGCTATTGAGCTTATCCAGTGAGTTTTTATTTTAGTTGTCATATTTTTCAGTTCTTAAACGGTACAGTAAATAAATAAACAGAACAACCAATGGTAGGAGATGGGGTTGGAGAAATAAGCTCAATACTGACTATACAAGGCCTTGCAGGTAATAATAGAGGGTCTAGATCTTATGCAAAGTGTAGAGGAAAATCACTGGGGATTTTAAAGAAAGGAATAGAATAATGTGATGTACAGTTTTAAAAGACTACTCTAACACTGTTGGAGAATGTACTGATAGGGGCAAGAATGGAACCAATAGACCTGTTAGGAAGTGTTGTCTTGGTCCAGGGGAAACTGCTGTGGTTTGGACTAAGCAA